CAGGCGCAAGGCAGCGAAGCCAGCAGAGGTCCTAAACGGCCCAGAAAGCCACCCTCACTACAGTGCAACTGGGCACTTTACAACTGCTCAGGAATGTCGTGTGGTCAACATTCAGAATGGACCCTGAGTCAGAGACCTTGGTAGAATAGGTGACAGGCATGTTTAGTACATGAAATAAAATTTAGTGAAATTAGGAGGCAACTGCAAGCCAGGCATATGAATAAGTACTTGCTACCTGGCAGCATTTGCATCCTCACACTGTTGGACAACAAGGCCTTCCTAAACAGAAGGGAAAAGCTCATGTAACTCATTGCAGAACACCCTTGGGAAGAGCCATTTCAAGAGAAGCAGGGAACTAAATAAATGTCAAGACCTCCAAAATATTCAGGAGATAATCATGAATGTATGTGAGTTGTTGTAGAAACCATCTTTTACTTCTTATAATTTAGGTTCTTCATTCCATCACGTGGTCTTTTTAAATTACTGGATGTTTCTCTTCTAATTCAGAGAGCTAAGGTTTTCAGTCAATGTTAATTTTCTTTGAAGGATTTTCAGAGGGTAGTATTTCCACATAGAGACCCCTGAAATTATTATTTTCAAGTAAGGCTGATTCTTTTTCTTTGCAGCCCCAAAGAAAAGAGATCTATGTAATCGCAGTGTCAAAATGTCAAAAGACTGAGATAGGTTGATAAAAAAGGAGAAGAAAAGAAAAGAAAACACAAAAAATCTTAAAGGCATCCATGTAGTCTTCAGCCTTATAAATCCTTGGCTCACAGAAAATATGTGTGACATGCTGTAATTAACTAGTTACTCCTCTCAGAATGAATAATAATGCAATTATTTGCCAAAAGCAGTAAAGAAGGGATAGTTTCTGTTTTAAAAATATCCACCTTTCATTTCTGTAGAAAGAAAAATTGTGGATTAATTTACATAAACTGCTAAAGCACAAAGTGACCTGCAATTTCACCATTATAGTATATGATAATTCTGTCACCTTTTTATCTGAGCCTTATATTTTTCAGTGGTTTGAAACAGCAATAAAGTGACAAGTCATGACCTTGTCCAAATTATATTGGCCCCTAAAAACTGCACCCAAATACCACAAAATTAAAGTAGTAACCTGGATGGTGAAAATAATGTTCTTTTCACAATTAGACTTCCATGCCATTGAGGCCACTAAGGGCTAGTTCTCTGTTTCCTTTGTCTGTAGACACAAATAAAAGGAAGGTGAACCTTAGTTCTTCAAGGGCCTTTTCCTTCCTTAGAGATTCCATGTGCCAAGTTAGCACAGTTAAGAGTTGAAATGAACATAACACTGGTTCTCTGTCCTGCATGTTTATATCTAAACATTGACTGTGCTCCTAACCCCTTCCAACTCCATCCCACCATCTTCCCAGTAATTCATTCAACAAGCATTTAATGAAGGTTTGCTAAAAGGCACTCCACTAGGTACCAGCAATTCAAAGGTAAAAAAGACATGTTGCTCTTGAAAAGGTAGTAGAAAGGTTGTATCTTTATTTCTTACATAAAGATATAACCTAGTAGACAGATACATTAACGATGCAATACATGCTGTCCTGGAGCCTACCCTCCACACACATACACAAGTTCATTCACTCATATAAACACACAGAACCCCTGTGCTTCATAAATATGAATTTTCAAAAATTCCAGATTCTTTTAAGTTTTGAGACAGAGAGTTGGATAAGATTGTTAAGCTTTACAATTTTGTAATTCCAGTAGAATCAGTTGGAGTGCATGCTTGTGTGTATATGTGTATCTTTCGGAATATGTGTTTTTATGTGAAGCCAACTTTCTATGGAATTTTATTGAGGATTAAATATTCTGAACAGTTGACACCTTAAGTAGTCAGATTAATTTAATACACATCAAATTAGTTACTCACTGTAATACCAGTTTTTAGTTCAGAATGTCTTAAAACAAATATTCACTGATACATCCCTGTGATACAAAAAAGCCTGGATCACTTGTTTGGGGAGACAGAGACTAAGAGTCAGTGTGATTTAAATTCATAAAATCATGATAAATATTCTAAGAGTAGATACAGTCTTGTTTATTAAAGCCCTATTCATCCAAAGAATTCCTTTAATTAGTTAAAAGTAGGAATTTAGGCCTGTCTTGCTTTTCATTGTACTGAACTTTATGCAGATCTGTGCAAGTTCTGGCCTCAGACTATTATATTCCCAATTAGGCTCTTCCCTGTCCCAACTGTGAGACTTCCCCAAGCCTCAATTTTCTGATCTGTGAGATGGAGTTAGTAATAGTAGCTGCCTCCTAGAGGTAGAAGGTTGTACTAAGTATAGATATAAAGCATGTAGCACTGGGATGGGCATGTTGCGAAGTCAGCTAGTAGTATGATTAGCATTATCCTCAAATTCAATTGAATATTCACTGAAGCTCAGTGAGGACATTTAATATTTACCAGGAAAATTATTTAGCCAGCCATGTCTGTTTTTACATGGCAGTATAGTGATAATTTATACTAACCT